AGCCAATATCAAAAGGTTTAATTTAAAAGATTTAACATCTGTTAGTTTTCTACAAAAGTCTCTGTGAGGTGATAAAATGCGGGTCTGCACTCAACGTAAACAATCAGTTTTATCTGTTTATCTTGGTCAACACACCTGAAGGTAAACACAAATTTATTCAAACTGTTTCACTAACGTCCATTTCAGCTGTTTTCAGTCACTTCAGCTGTTTTCAGTCACTTCAGCTGTTTTCAGTCACTTCAGCTGTTTTCAGCCACTTCAGCTGTTTTCAGCCACTTCAGCTGTTTTCAGTCACTTCAGCTGTTTTCAGCCACTTCAGCTGTTTTCAGTCACTTCAGCTGTTTTCAGTCACTTCAGCTGTTTTTAGTCATTTTGTTGTTTTTGTAAATATTTATTTTAACAAACATCAGAAGTAAATAAATGAAAGTTTAATGACGGTCAGACATCAGTAAATTTGTCTTTAACTGTTTGTGAACTGAAATGTTTCTGTCAGTAAAATATCTGCTGAACCACAGGATGATCGGAAACATTTGAGTTGAAACCGTGGAGATAAAACCTGGTGTGGTGGTAGCTGAGGGTCGTCCTCAACTTCTCCTCTGAGGGTCTGTAGACTTGAGGAACAACTTTAAACCAGCAGGGTCCAGTCCTGGTCCCAGTCCCAGTCCCAGTCCTAGTCCTGGTCTCAGTCCCAGTCCTAGTCCCAGTCCCAGTCCTAGTCCTAGTCCTAGTCCTAGTCCTGGTCCTGGTCCTAGTCCTGGTCCTGGAGGTCCACCCTGCAGGTGTTACAGGTTTCTCTGTTCCACCTGATCAGGACGATCAGCAGACGTCTGCAGAACCTGAAGAGGTGATCCAGTCACTGAGTCAGGTGTCAGAGCAGAGAGTCAGGACCAGAACCAGGACCAGGACTAGGACTAGGACCAGAACCAGGACGAGGACTAGAACTAGGACAGGTTTTATACAGGTGAATCTGAGGGTCTCAGTTCAGGTTAATGAGTCACCTGTTGCTGCAGGAGTCCAACTGTTGAGAAACACAGAACCACACCTCACATTCCTCACACACACACACACACACACACACACACACACACACACACACACACACACTCGTTTGTTGACCCCGTGAGGACCTTCCCTTCACTTCCATTCATGTTTTTTAGACTAACAGTGTTGTATAAAGTACCTCAAAGTGATACTTGAGTAAAAGTACAAGTATCTTATCATAAAAATACTTT